GGTCAAGGTCATCGGGGCTGGCTCCCTTCATCGATATATTTACCCTCGAAATTGCATTAATATGAAAAAAAATAATTCTAAGGAATAAAATACCAAAGTTCCTCATTATTTAATTTCACGCTCAAAATTTGCGGAATGTTTAGTCATTTTTTACGCAGCTAATTACAATTATAATCACAATAATACATTGTAAACTGAAATAGCGTTGTTTGATTTATACGAAATTATATCTTGAAATAATTATCAAGATACAAATGAGTCAATTGTAAAAGTATTAAAAAATCATTAAAAAATAGAGCAGCTCGATAAAAATATTTTCCTACTGGTAACTAATTGATTAACATTTTCTCAACTACGAAACAATTAACCAGGGATGTCGAGGCTTTCTTACAATCGACTGTAATTCGAGTTCGATCGCCCAGGAGGCCACCAGAGAAACGCCTCTTAAACGGTCTGCACGTTCTGCCTTTCATCTTCACGAGTCTTCCTCCCGCTGGATATTACGCTTTTTTGTAGACCCTGCCAGAAAACGCGATGCCGTCGACGATATCGGGTTATTTTTATACGTCGCCAGACGATCATAAGGCGAACGGAAAAACGCTCGCGAAAAACAACGGTTATACGGACAATAAGCCGACAATGTGCCTCGTGTGTATGATTTACGTATAATTCATCGAATTGCCCGGTTTTTCAGAGCAAAATAAAATTTCCGACGATTCTGTATCACTGCGTACTTATAATTCAAAATACGCAATAAAACGTGCGATAAAATATCTGCTACAACAATTAAGACTCATGTTACGTTGCAATAAATTTGATAAACGTTTAATTTAATAAACTCCCTTTACAATCCTCCATTTCGTTATTTTTCATTCTTTAGCTTCTATTCCATGCGAAAGTAAAAGTACAACAAAAATAAAATAAAATAAAATTTGCCATTGCGCGTGTGTGCGCGAGCCCGTGAAGTAGAGCACAATCGATTACTGGCATCAAAAGTGTTTCGATGAGAGAGCAGCGGCCACTTTAATTTACTTAAGCGATCGAGAATTGAGATTTATTGCAAGCCGATTTCCGGCCAGAAGTGCGTATCGCTTTAATATTTTAATTTCCCGCATGCACGCGTGCGAGAAGATTAAATCGTCAGTAAAAGGATACGCCATGCGTGAAAGGGTTAATGCACCGTGATAAACAAAGACCGGGTGTATCGCAGCAACCCTAGGATAAGTGATCGACGCGCGTACAGGGATTATCTTGTCGCGTGGATCAGTTATGGCATTTCTGACGGACTTACCATTGATCACGTGCACGTTGACACTCGCTCTCTCCGCCACGGTAGGAACGCAACTGTAGTTTCCGGAGTCACTGGGCTTCGCATGCGTGATCCTCAATCTGCCGCACAAAAGGTAATATAGTTTATCGCTACGTGGAACGTGTACATTGCAATGCATATCTGATTTATGTAACCGTCATTAAATCGGTCACGGTAAATGCAATATAAATGTGATAGCTGAAAAAATTTCTAGGCGACAATAAAGTTAACGTTGCGTCTGCGATACAAGAATGCCGTTTCCGAGGAATTAAGCTACGCTCATTGTCAGTGTCGCAGGAGAAAAATGCTACTTGTGCACGAAACTGTCGTTGTACGTAAATATATTTGCATTTTATTGTGATATTTAGGTAACTAGGTAAGGCTTCATTTTTCATTTCGTTTCTTTCTGCTAAACAACCTATCTGCGGCGCACATGTTGGCTTAATTAAAAATGTGACTTAAATTAAAATTCGGGAGTATTAATCTTAATCAAAGGGGAAAGGATACAATGAAAGGAGGAGTGACGTATACGGAGCCAGAAAATTACTACTCGGTCGTTAGGGATGCCATATATGGAAGTAGCTCTTTGAAGCTTGCCCTGTGAAGGATTTTCCTTCGTCTCGCGTACACTATCAAAGAAAAGCCATTTTCCGAGGTATAAAAGTATGAAATTTTCTAGAAAATGACATGCGATGTAACAAATACAAAGTAATAACTAATTCATTATCTCATACATGCAAACTAGTTTACATGTAAAGTAAGAAACAGATAAATTTTAATATGAATATTTTCATATATAAATTCGATTTTAAAAAAGTGCCACTCCGTCGCTTTTAACTAACTGTAAATATATTTCCAAAGAGATATGCATAACGCTCGAAAACTATCGCGCTTTCTTCATCCGCCCATGTTATGACATGAATTTTGCGTTATCATGGAATATTTAAAAGCATTCATAAAATTTGCAACAGGATCGTTATCGCGCTGTGTACGCATTCTACGTAATCGTTTTGATGTCGCGTACGTTAGCGGTATATAGTTTCGTCAGGACGGTATAAAGTACAGGATCATATAAAATAACTAATGACACAACTAATAATAAAGTATCGTTAATTTAGTGATAATTATCCACGACATTATTAGCGGTAGCGCTCCGGTTACCCACTCTTCTCTCCGCATCGTACACATTTTTGCCGAAGGTATCTCTGATACGCACGATGCATATTTTATCACGTTTTACCATCTCTAAATGCGGCCTGCAGATATTTCTGTATTATTAATTAGACTGTACGATATACGCACAAATGCAAGTGTTGTGTTATATTATAATAAGTGCATGAAAATTGCGTATTTTAAGAGCGTACACTTACAATAAATAAGTTGTAAGATACCAAACGATAACTGACAATTAAAAAAGATAAAAAAGACAGTACATAATAATATATTACAATAGTCTATTTATTGTCCCGAAAAGAATTGTGAAATTTGCAACTCAAGGGAAGTTCAATATTCAATAAGCGCTGTGGAATCACATTATAATTTCTATTGTTTTATCATTTCACGTGTGTCGTGTATAGATATCAATTTTTACGGCCACATATCGCAACAGTCATTCTCTCACTCGGAATTTACATTGCATTCAACCGAACTTCAATCAATTCGTTCCGTGGTAATAGTCGAGGAAGGTGGAGAGAGCAAAGTATTCTTTTTCATTCTTTTTCCATTTTGTTTGTGAGACGCTCGTTACTGTTACGTGGTAAATTGAATTGATCGGAATACCGATCGAAACCGATAGAAATCGAAGCGGGCTCGAATTTTCATGGCGTATCGGGTGTCGGGAGGCTTTTGCGAGTGCGAGTGAGAATGCAGTTCCTCAAATATGAATATCGAACCGGCCTGAACGCGCGGAATACAGAGAGAAAATTGTGCGGGCGGACTCGACGCGGAGACGCATTAATAAACCTGCACGGTCGCGTTGCGCTAATCACGAGAGGGATAAACACGTAATTACGCGCGAGAGATAAAGTCGCGGGCACGTAGAAGTTAATCGGCAATTTAACGGCAACTAGCTGGAAAAGCGGCCCGAATATGCTCCGAATGATTCGATCCGCGCCAAGGAGGAATTCTCGCGCGATTCTTTGTTAATCGAATAAAAAAAAGGGAGCTTCCTGCTCGAAAGTTTTCACGTTTTTATCGTTTTAAGTTCAATAATTATCTTTGTTAAACTTTCAATTTGAACATACCGGAGAGGAAAGAGTTGCGGAGATTTAACCTAACGCGTTTTCTTCGACGATCGCGGGAGGAGATACAGATATAAAAGTTCCGGAAAAGTTTTAATTATGTCATCAATACAGACTGTCGATTACAAATATTAATAGTTCCCGCCTTTCGCCGATTATCCTCATTGGCGTATCGCTATAATATCTCGCGCGCTGTAAGTTATCGTTTTTAGGTAAGAAGCGATACACGGTTGTGTCGGCTAGGATATACGTGGACAACAGGGATATCCGTTACGCGATATACAGGGTGTCCCAGGAATAAAGTTCAATACTCTGGGAGGCGATAGTATCGGTCATTTTAAACAGAAATGTTCATACAAATATATGTCCCATTCCCCACTGTTTCCGAGATAGAACTACTTGAATGTCTCGTGTATTTACTTTTTTCTGTACACTTCACCCTTCGTTCCACCCCATAAACGTCCGCGTGAATTTACTCTTATACGTCTGTTGGCTGTTGTGCTGATTACATTGTGGAAATGTTCAAAATGCCTCGCATATTCGCAAATGTCGAACGAGCAACACGCCATGTTCACACAAGAGTTGAGAAATGCATTGTTGTGAAATTTTTGAAAACTTACTATGATCCGTAACAAATGTATCACTTGAACAATAAATATTAGAAATAGTACGTAGAATTTCTTTCTTGTCAGTAATTTCGCAACTGTACCTTCAAATAGCTCTAACTCGGAAACAGGGTGGAATGGGACGTATATTCGTATGAACATTTTTGCTTAAAATGACCGATACCATCACCTCCCAGAATATATTGACCTTTCCTCCTGGAACCTCCTGTATGACGTTACGCGAAGAAGTTGCGCTCCCAACAGATTATCGATTACTCATTTACTTTCTGCATTTCAGTAGTTAGCTTCATCGCGCAACGTCGTAATGCATCGCACTCGTGGGACCAATAACCGCCGCTTAAGGCCACGGTGTCCCGCATGCGGTTACCGCAATTCCGCGAGCCGAATGTGCCGCGAAATAATTATTGCGATGCCGGTGCCGACGACGAGCCATAACGGCGGACTCGATGGAGTCCGAGGATAATGAAAACGTATGGCGGACGCCGGGCTTAAGCTCCTCGACAGCGAGCCACCGCGCACCTTCGAGCGGTAGGAAGGTAAGGTAATCTCGATGCGACGGAATGAAACGATATCCGGTTACACGCTAATATTATCGAGAGCGCGAACGATTTATGCGCGCGGAAATTCCAGGATTGAAAATCAGGCTCGTAGATTAGCTCCTAGCTTTAACGTGAAATTTGAATATCTCTTTATGAATGTGAATAATGTATTTACTATTCCGGAAATATGCGGGAATGTTATCGCCGGATAATATAATGTTCGCATATAAACTCTCCGTGCCATTCTGTCTATAAATTTCAACTCGACTGATCCGAAAGGGGAACGCGAATTTTATTCCCTTCGAGGAATTTCAAGGCGTACTTTTTACATTTCCCTTTTAACAAGTACATAGACCGTGTGTCACATTGACGCCATCGTCACGGGGACGACGTTTCACCCGCGGTGTACTTGCGGGACAGCGGCCCGTCGAATGTACCGAATGCGGGGACGTGCGTGCATGGCGGAAGTCGCGGGCCGACAGGTGCGCGACAATTAATTCGCTTCTTGGGCCGCGGCCCCCGTAAATTTGCCCGCGATGCGCCGTGCGACGGCATCGCCGTGACAATCGTCAATCACGTCCAAAAACGGACGCGCGACATCGCGCGGCGGACACAACGGCGCGACGACGGCGGCGCAATATTCGGCCCGACACAAGCGACCTGGCTCAACAGCGCCCGGGTCGTCCGAAATGCGGAGCATGTCCGATGCGTCTTCACGGTGCGCGGGACACGTGACAAAGGACCCTGTTGTCTCGGATCTACCCGAGACAATTAGAATAATCAGACGTCACGCGACGCGACGCCGCGGCGTCTCGATGTCTGTCCTCTCTCTCTCTCTCCCTCTCCCCCCGGTCTCTATCGAGTAATTCCAACGGGCAACTTTTATCCCGAACTCTGGATAGGGAAATGGGACATAAGCAATAACCGTGAAGCACGTGAAATGACCGCTCCTTTCGCACTTGCATATATTTCTTAGTATATTAGAATGTAGCATCGCGCGCCCTGTTTGCCTTATGAGATACACCCACAGAAAAAATTTCCGGATCCAACGCTATTACACTTGAATGTATCATAAGGTAGGATCGATATAGCGCCAATCATATTTATTATAGAGAAAGGAATATTTTAAAAAGAGTAAGGTACAAGCTCGCTGTTATTCAATAAAAGGAATAAGGTAAATTTAGGCCAATATAATTACGAGCAATTGATGTATAGATAATAAATATATATGTATAAAATTGTTACAATTTAAAAGTCAAGGGTCATTGTTAAGTTAAAAGGGACGCACGATCCTCTTAATCCTAAGTTTAAAATTAAGTGTAAAAATAAAATTAAATTGTAACAATTTTATACATATATATTTATTATCTATACATCAATTGCTCGTAATTATATTGGCCTAAATTTACCTTATTCCTTTTAAGGAATATTTTAATTTGAAATGAAAAATTCTGAAATCTAGAATAAATTGATAGTATGCGTCGTCTTTTGTCGAATATCGTGGCGCCAACTTCGTGCGTTGTAAGATGGAGGGGAAATTTCTTCTAAACGCAAGAGTATATAAACTTACAGTTATATAAGTTAGGACCTGAGCAGAATGGCTATCTTATACCTTTAAGACAGTCTTAAGACAATGCTTTATGTTTTAAGCCTTTAATTGTCTTGAAGTAATGCACAATAACTGTCTTACGTATTAAGAGTTAAAGACAGCCATTCTGCTCAGGCCCTTACTCTTGTCTCAATTAGTAAGTCAATCTTTTTTAATTCGATGGACGAGAATAAGAATCATTGATTTTATTTTGATATTATCTTACTTTTATACTAAATGAGCTTGTGAGAAATATAAATGCGTCAATAATATTTTCTGTCTCGGTAACAGAAATCCTTTCCGAGGGTGTAATCAAGAAGCTGAATTACATGCAAACTAACGTTTAAATATTGTACGATTGTTGATACCCCGGCGGTATTGTAAATAATAAAAAGACATTATTAAAATATACATATCCATGTATATGGATAGATCGTAAACGCGCGAACAGAATAAAATTGGCGAATTATTAACTAAATACAAATAATAATCATAAGGACGTTTTTTAAATTAATATATTAACTTGAAAGATGCAACGTGAAGAAAATATATTTTCTTTCTTTTCATTCTGTGATACGCGCGTAATAACAGATTCTCTCAATTTCTGTTACTTTACACCAAATAATGCGCGATCTTAAAAGATTATAATGAAGGAAATTATCATGATATAAATTGGTTAAATACTTTATGTAAAGAGAACTAGACATAGCATTACGCGCGCTATTCAGCTTTAATTTGTTCATGATCGTGCAATAGGAAGATTACTTTTCATGTATAGAATATGTGCGTTTGTCGTCTAATTTAAAATTTCTTTAAACATCTCGGTATTTCGCGCTATTATAAATAATTATATGGCACGGATATGATACACTTAGATATGTGTAAATAAAAATTATATGAAAATAGGTTTATATTTAAGTAGACTAGAAGCATTTAAGTATTGAGAATAAATTAACGTTAGTGTATTGCGGGCGAGTTGTGAATTTAAAATGGCTGGAATAAATTTCCCACCACCCCATTGTCGGCGGAAAATACTTTGGCGATATGCGTATCGCGCGTTTTTAAGGCGGCCTTGCGAAACCCGCGGGTATCTCGAAATAAATTAATTTGAGCGTGGGATCAGTTTTTCAAAGAGCCACGACGACGTGTAGGACCGGCGGGACAACCACCCCGGCACGCCATTATTTCTCATTATTTCCCCTGGGCGCGGGAGGGGATAAGCGGAGGCGGACCATTTATTTATTTCGCCGGCAGCTCGAAAAAGATACGGTTACATCGTGTGTGCGATGAAATATCGCACGCGCGACGGACGGTTCGATGAAAGAATCGCCGAGGGGAAAAAATATATTTTGCCGACGTACGGCTGAAACCAATCGCGCTCGACGAATATTCACCGCGCTCGACGAAGTCGCAAGAATGAGAGCGGCTGAACATGATTGATATTACATTTTACTACTTCATAACGTTTTTCAGCTACTCGCCCGAGCTGATTTCGGCGCGGCGTAAGCGCGTTGTCGCGTCGCGAGCCCTTCGTTGAACAATTTTGCAAAATTGCGGCCGGCATATCGTCCAGGGCGAAACACGCGCCCGGTCGCGTTGTAGAATCCAGCTTTTAAAACGCGCCGCAGCGACGCTGTGACAAAAATTGAAATATTTAAACTGCGTTAAAATGTGACGGCCGCAAATATATGGCGCGCGTGATCCTTATTTTTTATTTATTCGACGTACCCGCCCGACTGGAGCCGGTGTAAAAAATTAAATAGCACTTCGTATAACAATATCACGCGGGTGTGCACGTTTATGAGAGTTTTCCCCGTGCGGAAGCGATGACTCTGAACGTGCGACAAGCGTGACGAGAGTTTTTTCTGTTTTTTATTTTGTTCATAGCACGTAAACGAGTTTCACGTTAACTAAGTTTTTGATATTTAAAGTATAAATCATAATATACACGCTCTCTGTCGCGAGCGAACGAGGTTCATTTAATCAGGAAAACGACTGACCGTAAGTTTTCGTTCGTTTTCTTTCGTGTTACATTACACACAAGAGCAATTCTATTATAATTAGTATTAAAAATAATTTAAACTTAACGCTAAAATTACCAAAGATCAATCTATATAGAATACCACATAGAAGTCTTAGGAGGAAAAGAGAAAAGGAGAGAACAAGTTCGTAAAACTAATCATGTGCATTTCAATAAAAATCAGGGGAAAGAAATTAAAGTGTTTCAAAGATGAATAATAATTATAAAAAAAAATTGTGAAACAAGTCACCTCCTTGGTACTTCTAGTTTTAAGCTTAATTGTTTAACCAGTAAATGGCTTAATCATTCATTCGTACCTCGACGTGAGGGCATCGCTCCATTCCGTCTCGACGGTTATGCGGGGCTCCGCTTCGATGTCATTTTCTGATCGCGGTGATGTCACCACCGCCTGACTTCCACGGTACCAAGCTACCGTTCCCAGATCGTGGGGACCTTGCGACATGAGACACGTCAACGTCAGAAGACTTCCGGTCTTCACGTAGATATCCGCCGTGCCGATTATTCTGGCTCGCGCTTCTGCAACAAAAAGCGACATTTGAGTTATTAGTATAGAACGGCTATATAATAATTCTATAAGAGCGTCACTTAACGTAAATATTAAAGATTAAAGATTCGCCCAACAAGGAATTCATTTGCAAAGTTTAGGAAACGCCTTGCTTGCTCTACGCACTGATTGAACATTAATGCACCTGCCTCTCTTCGCGACCAATGCGCGGCTATCTATCGCGAGAGATTTTGCTTCGCGAAGTGCGAATGTAATTTCACAGGACACGGCGAAACGTGCAAACAGATGAAACAGCCGGGCTGCGGGAAAAATAAATCGGCGAGAGACAGTTTTAATCATCGGACGTTCGTTTACGCGAGTTTACACGTGTTGCGTCGAACTGCTCGATAAAGCTATATCGCGATGTAATAAAAGGTGCGTGATTAAGTTGAAAAAAATTGATGGCGAGCCACAGATACGGTGTTATAGCTGGTGCAGCGGTGTCCGATTAAAAGCATCGATAATTGATAAAACACAACCGATTACCTATGAGCGGTTTTATAATAGTTGCATCTGTGACAAGAGAATATTTGAAATCCTTTAGAAATAATTCTTACGAATACGGTATACTTTGATATATTTATAATCGCAAAATAGACGGTATTTCTTCACGAGCAAATTTTAATATCACAGCAATGTTTCAGTAATAGATATTTTTTGTGCTAGATATTAGATATTTTAATTTATTTATTGAACATATTTATTATTTACTCTTAATTTTATCCTCCTGACTTCGACTTCGTTTTAGTTGTTTATTTATTGTGTTGTTCTCTGTATCTCCTGTACACCACTTTAGACTTTAGTCTTACTGTGGCCGTTACGTTTTTAATGTAAAATTGATGACGTAATATTTGTAAGTAAAATTTCACTTGGCTCGTAATCTGACTGATTTTCTTTTGTAATCGATGTAATAAACTTGTAGATGATCAAATTTCTTGATAAGGACCACAACCCGTATGGTCGAGACGTCGGAATCAAACTAATAAACCATCTGCCAGCCTAATGTCGTCTAACAATTCTATTTTCTGTTAATTAACTACTGGCGATTTGCACTCTTTCGTTATTAGATATCTCCTATGGTATTTTAACATCGTAAATTCACGTTTAATTCCCGTTTCTTTCCATTTATACTAAACCGTAGTCTTCAACGAATATCAGTGCTCGATTCGCAAGACGTACCAATGCATCATCTGTATAAAGAGGGCTCTAAAAAATGACGACAGTGCACCCTGACGATGTTCGATCGATAAGTCACACAGCACGACTGCCCACCTTTCATCCGGTGGATTCTCCTCGTCACGGTTGGCCGTTCGGGTTTTATATCACATCGCGATGACCGGGCGCATTCTTGCCGAGCTGTCATCCCGAATCATAGAACCGCGTCTCGATTCTATCGCAAGAGGCAAAATGGATGTGTCGAATTTGAAGAAGACGCGTGGCTCGACCTTGCGACGCGATAAAAAGGGCATTCAAAGGTAAACCATCAACCTCAAAAGCGACCAACTTTTGTACCAACGTCACAACATTACTAACTTCGAAATGTCGACGTCGAATAAGCGACTGGCACGGACGATTTTGTGCCCTTAATAAATTATAAGTATAACCAGTATGTCGCAATTAATTAAAACGTAATATAATATATCGATTTATATCAATAATTCAATTAGTCTTGACTCTGTCTATAACATCGGAATGATATACCTGGAAGCAAATTTTCACTATATTGGAAACGAAAGTTTACTTGTCTCACTAATTGTAAAGGCCAGTTTCACAAACATCAGTTAACTGTTAACTAGGGTTCAGTCGACTCCCTATCCTTTTCCACCTTATTATTTAAGAAGAGACAGAGAATCAATTAACCTTTGGTTAGCAGTTAACAGATGTTTGTGAAACTAGCCCTAAATATTGCATTATTTCACTGAAGTAAAGATTTTACTACACTTTCGTTGACAATTATTTTGCTGCTTAAGAAAAAAATGATGTAATCGTTGATTTGACACGAGTGTGAGAAAAATTTGCCAGACATTCACTGTCAAGGAGGTTCTTGCCCTATTCCTGTTGCAAGACATCATCGGCGCCAACGACACCACGCGGGTGTCGTTGACGTTTCGAATACGCTGTCAAGACTGGGAGACGTAGAAATCTTCACGACCTCTTTTTGGTACCGACACGATCGAAAAAGAAAATTGCGCCGTCTTCTTTACTTCCTTTAATTATAAACCAATGTTATTTTCCTCAAAATGGAACGATGCAATTGTGTTCCTATGTGTAATCTAGATTAATGTACAAAGAATATAAGTCGCACATATTTAAAAACTAAGATGGCAAGTTATTTGAAGAGCGCATTAAATAATGGTTAAGTAAATTAAAAGCATCGCATAAATCTTTACGAACAGAGCTTCCCTGCTTTAAGAATCTACATTTCACATTCCACGTAAGAGTCGTACAAGTCGTGCTTAAAGGAATAGCCTTTTTCACGTCGACCACGTCTTACCGAAAATCTTTTACGAGGTTTCGATGAGGTCCGGCCAAGTTTTACTGAAAGATCGCCGTTTGTGATGCAAAAGATGCGCTGACCGTATTCCGACAGGTCGTTTTTTTCCGCCTCGAAAGGCCATCGGCTTTACATTACGCTGTATTGGAGATTAGTTTCTTTGTGACCCGGCGGCGCATCTATCTCTCGTTTCCTACTGTCTCCTACATGGTGTTTACGCTGTTCTAGATCGATAGTCCACGGTGGTATTCTGTACGGAGCAAGGAAGAAACGATTGTGCTTCTTCGAAGCTTTTTGCGCGCAATATGCAAACTTGAACCTACCGTTAATTCATCGTCATATTTCGCGAGTGATATAAATCGATTTTCAATTTTCTCTTTCTTATAAGAGGAGATAACATACGATGGCAGAAAAATTTTAATTATTTTTATTAATGAATTTATTGCTAAATTGTTGATTTTTATGTCGTAATTTACAATTTACTTTTATCATATATAAATTTATTGCTAATTAATTGACTTTTATAGTAAATTCAAGATCGTTGCGTTCAAATTTTCTAATATATATATTTAGTAATCTGAATGCACTTCGCTTTCAGGACTTTAATTTATGTGAGTTTGAAACAAAAGGCACACTTAGCAAACAAAATATTTGCATTCAACGTTCAAAAAATTCCTTATTTTATTTTGTTCTTCGACCGAGTTTTCATCCACCGCGTAGAAAGATAATTTTAACAGAAATCCAGAAAGTTACGGTTGCTTCAATGTGTATCTAATTGCACTCGCGTTACAACTGTCAGATACATAAACACAGCCGGCTGGCGCTAATGGAAGTTCAACGTGGCAAATAATCGATTCCAGTTTGCGGAACATTACGATGATGTAGATTACACGAATAATTCTCAGTTCAGTTACGTATCAACGTCGGCCGGCGTACTTGCCAGGATAATTACTTCGACCAACTTGTGCTCACGTTCACAATAATAACAATGCTGAATTAATGCGCTTGTGTGGAAGAGAGTAATAATTATATATGCGATCAGATACATCATTTGTTACGTGCTATTTTGTAAAACAGTGGCGAAAAAAGTAGAAATTTCAATTTTACAATTGAGATAGTCTTGATTTTTTATTTCGTTCGTATAAAAATTCAATTCTCGTGTGAATACCTGATACATTTGGAACCTAAGCGATATTTTCGAGTCTAATTATATTCACCTTGAATACAGATTTTCGGTAATTGCAAGATTATAAGATATTTCATGCAAAATTTTTGACTGTATAAGTCTTATGTTATTGATACCCGAACAAAGACCTTTTGAATATTGAATACATACGTAAGAAAATCACCATTACGAAATAATGAAATTCGTATTGAAACTGATAAGAAAACACTCGATCGCATTTCACGAGCAATATTTCTAATAGGAATAATTTGAATTGCAATGCTGCTTTTATGATTAACCTGCGTAATTGTAGTCGGACTTCGTTAACCGCATTTTCGTTATAGCTAACATTATTACACAGAGATATGCAACACTGGCGCTTCTCTGTTCAAGATTACGCGTTTCGCGATCTCCGTTGTAGCTTTGTCTCCAGGTTGTTCATGCACGTGCTTACTATTCACTAGTAAGGAGAAATTGTGTCGGGTTTGAGTGTCAGTACAGTAATAGAGAACAGATTCCAATTTACAGCGCGTAGAAACAGGGAAGCCCTTAGATGTAGCTAATCCGATGTACGGAACGGCGTACACGGATGTATCAGCCGTTTAAGCTGCTTAACGTCAAAATGACTCGAGATGCCTTCAAGTAGCAGGTTCAAGTGGGTGTAACTTGTTTTATCGCATGACACGTATTATTCAGATGATACGCTCACACTCATTCAATATTCGGCGGAAGTGCGCGATAATGCTGTCGGCATGGCGATATCGCAATGACACATTGCAGTACTTTCTAAAAGTTCCCAAGGGTATTGTTTCGAGTTTCGTTACAAGAAATTGACGGCCAAGTTTCCAAAGTTTTCTACAGAGTCCCCCGGGAGATTAATGCAATTTTCGAAGCAGCGATATTACGCACTCGGCGTGATGACGATTTTTTAAACGGGCTAAAGTAAGAATGAATGCGACGGTATATCATTGCGGCTCCATCCTTAAGAGATATTTTTGCTAAGAGAGTCGCATACCGGAAGAGGTTGGCAAATGTTGATCTAGCTGGACACACGCGCAGTGTCCCTCGCTGGAAATATATCTGGTAGATCGACTTATCACCTCGCGACGTTCCTGGTACATTTATTTTGTCCTCCACGAAATCCTCGCACGGTGAACCAATAAACCGGCAGAGTTCCGTTCAGCTGAATCGCGCGAGGTATGGATTGAGCTCTCAGGTATATCTATCGTACTGCAGCTTGAATTCGTCTCCAACTCGGTTAAAGTCGCGCACAACCGATAGGCAAGTTTTCTCGGACATTGTTAAAGTTGAAA